AAAAAGTCTATTAACTGGCAGTTGACTTCTCACTTCAAACTACCAAGACCCCACTGCATTTCATATTCGACTACTACAAGTACTCACCTCACCTTTTTTCTACCTTTGTGTCTGTCTCTTTTACACCTTTGAAACACTCTTCTGTTCCCCCCCCCCCCACATCTCGACTTTTTTCACTTTGATGTTCCTTCCCGCCTGTGAAGACTGAAGTCAACTAAATGGCTAATGATAACTAACAAAACGCCTGCCATTTGATATAAATAATTTTTTTCCTAAGATGAGTTTGTTTCAGGAATCGAAAAAAGCATCATAAAAGCCAAAATATGAAAAATATGAAAATAATCACAATTGGAGCTTTGACGCCAAAAAAAATGAAATATTACAAAAGATTTCACAGTAGTCTTCGCTCGATGTAGCACTAGTTGAGGAGATGGGTCCGCAGCAAATCTGCGACAAGACACATCAATCAGATAAGGCAATGTGAAATGAAAGACCAGCAAGTTCTAACGTAACAGAAATGACAAAAATAGGGATCAAAGTGAGAAAATGCGACCCTCCTCCACATTATGGAATTTCAGTTTAGCTCCGAAAGTGGCAGTTATCAACATTCTGGCAAGTAACAACGAGTTTTATAGCATACATTGTGAAGAAAACACGAGATATAAAACACAAAGAAGTTAAGTTAACTTCTGATGATGGTTTCCACATCCACTTGGAGTTTCAAGACAAACGACAGCCTTTAAATTACTACAGAACAAGAGATCTCTATTGGATTAAAAGAAATGTTTTTGTCAAAGTTAAAAGTCAAGGATTTCTTCATTTTCGTCAACATCAACGCAGACCTATGAATTTCCACATAGATGAGTAGGGATGAGTGCCAGTGCACTGGGAATGCAGACATATTTAATATTAATTAATAGGGGATACGATAAAGATTCCCTCTGAGTGGATATGACAAAGAATCATGTGTTCTTCTTGACGCCCTCCGAGTGTAATGGATCAAAAAGTAAAGAAGGCGTTGAAGCCCAAGGACCTCTTGAAAACAACGCTGTTCCAAATTAGACTCAGCTATCCTACATTTGACAACAAAATAATTACACTTTTACTATGAAGTGAGTACAGAAATCCCGAAATTGCGTAATGCGCTGCGTTTTCCTAAATATAAACTTAGTGCAATCAATACATTCTCGACACTTGACATAGAGCAGTAGCGTACTATTCTGTCAATGCAAGTAACGCAGCTTGCTCCATCAAAGATAATAAGCTACTCAATGCTTCCCTAATCTCCCTATTTGTGTCAGATTGAGAAAGTAACTCGTCATTTTGAACCCTACTTGTTAAACACGACGAATTTCTCAAAATCTGAGAAAATTGGTTGTCTAAAAAACGTTGCGATGTATCCTTAACGCCAGTAGAAGTTGACAGAGGAGTAAAGGCGTAACCAAATATAGGTTAATGGGGTTCAGAGGATCCGGTTGTTAAGTTTTTCGGCTTGGTCTAATTATCAGGTCTAAAATAGACGATAATGTCACTAAAAGGGCAATGTCCATACAATAGAGGAAGGTTTGTAATGAAATGTGAGGCAACCAATTGTAACCAAATAGTAGAGGGAACGAAAGGACTATACACGCCCCATTTCTAGATGCCCCATTTATTAACAAAGATAAAGTGATCAAAGCGTCGCATTTCAGAATGTTACAATGTTGGCACCATGATCACTGTAAGCCTCTTAAAGTATTCCTTGAGATACTAGCATATACACAATTTGGAAGTTGAGCAAAAAGTCCCAAACCCGTAGACCAGATCTCCATGCCTTTGCTTAAGTCAAAGCTCTGAAACTGATTGTCCGCATAATCTGCTGGCTTGCAAGATTAAATAATAATACACTATTGCAGAGGTTCGGTATACATTTTTAAATTTGTGAGTATTTTTCTGTGGCTTTTGGGGTTAAATTACAGAATAAAACTGTGTTAATTAAACTTTTGAAAACGAAAGGAAAAAACTCTTTAAATCTAACTCTTTTATCAGATTGTTAGCATAAGTAAGTGAAAAATTAAAAGCGGAATGCAAAAATCTAATCACTCATAGCCAGGTAAAAGGATGAGTGGGTACAAAAGCAAAATGAGTTCAAATATCAGACTCTTTTTTTACTGGAATAACATTGAACTACGGGGCACTGAATGGTGAAGGTTATAAGAGCATTAATTTCTGTTTCATACCATTATTTACGAAGGTAATTCAAACTATCACTACCAATGGACAGAATTTAGACAGAGGAACTTGTATTCAATCGAGTAAGGGATGAAACGAGAAAGACTCGAACGACATAGAAGCATATCCTGAAGCTAATTTGAATGCCGAATGCAATATGTTGTTCAATTTTTCATGCAGAGTCCAAAGACCAAGTTTCATGAATTAGTAACCCAGGTTTCAGGGTGAGTTAATTTTCATAATATTCAGATTTAAATGACCAGTTGATTTATCATATCACTTTGACACATTTATGTATTTCTCCAACCTATGATCAGTTAGACTAACAATGACCTTTTAAAATTCACTTTAGAAGAACTCTCGCAAAATTTAGAGAATTGCTTTTGACTGATATTGTGCTAACCTGAATGGTAGTCGTCTGATGTGAGCATCGACAATACAGGGTTCAAATACATCAGAGGCAAAACTATAAACCCGAAAGACTAATCGCTCACATCGCAAATCCTAGTGAGGAGTATAATTCAAAATTCAGACAACTTTGGGAATCATACCATTAAAACAAGAAAATGATTAGAAGTGCAAACCATGTCTAATGAAACCACATGGATGGGAAAATAAAGTGGTTTTCAAAGGAAGATTTTCAAACGTATTCTCCTCCCATCTAATTCCATATTGCACTATTTTCATTATTTTAATGTTCTACCATGACAATAGAGTGCCATGATGATGTTAATGGCGAAAGTAAGCACATAACTTGCCATGTTTGAAAGACTGATATACAAGAAGAACCCTGCCGTGATTGCAAAAACATAGAGAGCACCCGATGAAACCTCTCCAACAATTAATCCAAGGATCATTCCGAGATAGGCTGAACAAGAAGATAGAAAGTTGGCCAGAATTGCCGATTTGATAGAAAATCCAGAGGATATGAGAACAGCGAAGTCTCCTAGAAATAGGAATACAAGATTATGACCGTTACTGCAATGTTTGAATTATATCTCGTCTAACCCAGTTCATGAGGTAATTCCTCACAGAGGACACTGAGAGATAGCGCAATGCCAATGGGAGGGCTTTCTGTGAACCCTACTGCGATTGTCATTCCATCCATAAAATTGTGAAATGCGTCTCCGAAGAGAACCATCCAAGCGACAGTGGCGATTTTAGAGAACTTCTCAGGAGTAAAGCATGGACAAAAATGACCTAGTCCGCCGCATTTTGTCGTGTCTTTCATGTCGGGGACACATATGCTTAGGTCAGGATCAACGTTTCCACTTTCTTCAACTGATATTTCGGGCTGTAAAAGAGGGAGCATAAGGTAGAAATCATTCCACTCTAACGAAAACCCAACCCAAAATCAAATAAAGACAGTTCACTGACTATAATACCAAGATATTTTCTATTCGCTCATTTATTTGACTTTGCTGCAAAACTATTTTGAATATTCTTATGATGGACAATTGCCCAATTCGTTCGACTTATTGCTGTTTATAATACTGAAACAAACGAAACGGGATAAATTTGACTTATTCTTCAGTCAACTAAGTTAGAGATATGAAATTAGCTTAATGGAGCTCAACCAACTTTGATGATTGGACACTAGGATTCTGAACATAGTAAATTCTGCATTATGTTACAGAATCCTCTTCGTGCTTACTGTTGACGACACAGAAGACCTATTTGAAATATGTCTATATCAAATTACAAGCCCACCACAAAGGCCACCTTAGTTTAATTCCAGCCAGCTAATTGAAATGGAAACATCAAAGGAAATACTAAAACCTACGTTTGAATTATTCGTTACAGAAATCATCCTTTCGTACCACCCATTCGCATTTTCACTTTCTGAAGCATTTTCGCTTTCAGATGGAATCTTCCACTGAAATGCAGCAAACAATTCAAGTATAAATAATAAGTGATGTTTCAATTTTAAGAGAGGCGATCAACCATCTACGAACCCGCAGGAGTCTCGGCAGAATCATTAAGCCATATTCCACCAAATAGAAGAAAAGTGCGCCAGCTGGAATGCATACGAGCTTGTAGAGATACGTCCGCCCCTGACCTCCAAACTCTAATGGCATATCAATCATTCGCATTGCCTATAATAAGAAAGGATAAGAAGTGAATGACCCTAAGAAAGATACGAAGAATAAGCGCTTGAAGCACCTCAGGAAGCAGGACCAAAATGGCGGTGGAGAACAAAGCGCTAACAGCCAGAGCCATCATGAAATTTAGAAGAAAATTGAAATATTTCCAACGTTGAACAGGAATGCAAATAAATCCAGAGATAGAACAAAGATTGGTCAATGTAACTCCGACGAATGAATAGATTACAGCTAAATGAAATAGGTGTCATTTTAAATCCAATCAACAAAAAGTTCACGTTTGGTAACAAAGAGAAAAAGCTAATAAACAAAAAAGGAAGACACACTAGAAACAATACATATCATAACATAATACGGCACTGGAGGGCATTATAATATACGACGACAACCCACCTTTAAACAGTGAAAACTTCACTATGAGACGAATTCAGTGAAAGAATAAATTAACAGAAAGCACAATAAAAATAGTGGAGTAGCTTACTCTCCACAAGAGCCCGTTTTTTGGGTTTATCTGGATTTTGAACTTCAATAATGAAAGACTCGGACGCAGAATTATTAAATGAGGACACTGTCAAGAGGGCTTTGAAATCCCTGATGCTCTCCAACTGAAACAATGGGAATAAAAGAGTTTAATTAAGAGATTATTAAGAAAAGCAATAAATGAATGAAACTCACATTATGTAATGGAATTGTAGCAAGAGGATTAGGTTTAAATGTAAGATTATTTAGTGGTGAAAGATAAAAATCGCCAGTAGCTGATGAATTTGGGGGTGTAAACGCATGTTCCAAAATTGAATGAAGAATTAGGGACGGCGAGTTTGGAGCAAGAGAATTTGAAGAAGAAAAGCAAAAGAAAAATATGAGAATCACAGAACTAAGATGATCACTTGAAGAAATACGGAACAACTGTGTAAACATCTGAAAAAGATTGGATTGATTTCAGGTGCCTATAATAAAATAAATAAAAAATCAGGAAAGCAGTACTCATCAAAGTTGGTGAGCAGTGAAAAAGATGTCTTTAAAAGTGCAAAACCATTAATCTCTATATTTAATATAATAACAGTGATGTTTAATAAATTAAAAAATTAAACAGTTAATAATGAAACGGATAAAGTGTAAAAGAAAATTTACATAACATCAACAACCGCTCTAACTATTATTTTAAAGTTCCACATCGTCTGCGGTGCAATATAATGAAGTATTAAAACATACATTCCGTTTTCAAAAGAAGAATTATATCAAATTTATCACTTTATAGTTTTCATTTCAATCTTACTTTGTAATTCTTGCAGCTTTTACAAATCGATTTCTTCATGTATTCTTTAATCACATTTTTTGATAAAATAAATTATAGCCAAAAAAGTAATTTAACTATATAACCTAATACTACTTTATTCACTGATTGCAGGTAAATAACCCTCTCCATTGATCATTTTATTGCAATTGCAATGCAAAAAGTGTTTTATGCCTTATAAGTCTACCTTCCTAGAAGAAATTTAATCAAACTTGTAATACCCTCCTGTTAGAGATTAATTAATCTCCAGATTTCTGAAAAAATAATGACCACAATGGCATGGTTTTGTCAATGAAATTGTTCATTTATTAGGTATGTTTCATTGATTACAGCAATGAGCATGCGGATGAGGATAGAAAAGTTTGTGATGAGAATGAAATTAAATATAAGTAAATATTTGCGGAGAACTAATTCTACAAGGTACTTTCATTTCTTCGTTTTGCAAATTAATTGGAATAGTTGTGGTAACATTTTCCCGCATATGTCTGTTGTTTATATCACCATACACGCATAGGTCAAAACGGCTGATTAAGGGAGCACACAGTGAGTAGGCGTGTCATCAAATCGAAATCCATTTACTTTAGCCCGTTACTATGTGCTGATAACCGAGAAGTCTTGTGTTACACTTTCTGGTGAAGCAAGGGTCCAAATGAGTTGGCCTTTCCTTCCTCCGTGGATTATATGCAAAAGATTTATTTATTTCAAATGGCAGGCATTATGATAGGTATCATTAGCCCTTTAGTTGACGTCGGGCTACACAGAGGGGAGGAGGAGGAACATCCAACTGGTAAAAAGTCGAGAGGGGGAAGAATAATGATTCACAGACGTAAAAGAGACAGACGGACACAAAGGTAGAAAAAAGGTGAGGTGAATACTGTGGAATTATTCGAATATGAAATTCAATAGGGTCATGGTAGTTTGAAGTCCGAAGTCAACTGCCGATTTATAGACTTTTTTGCCGTATGCGTATACGTTGCCCAGGGTGCACCACGTGGAGGTAAGTCTATCGCACACCCCATATGCAAAAGATAAAAGCACACAAAATACGGCAATGTCTAGTAGTATCGTGAGAAACCTATGGGACTTAATTTCACTTTGTGCTCGTTATACTGTTTCATTATTTGCTGGAATATTTTCATCAGTTGAAAGATAGTTTAGATCAGAAGGAGTAATTAAAATTGTAATTGAGTAAAAATGTGTTGTTGAAGTCTTGGAGACATTAGCTGGTCAGCCTCACCTAATAAAAGAGTCGGTGATAAAAACCTGATAATTGTACTTAGCAGACATCTTTAAGCTATTCTACTAATTGGCAAAGCA